TTAAATTAGGGTAGAAAGGCTATTTTTTCCTATCCAAGTTGAACCATATTTTTGTCCTATTGATTATATATTTCTAAACAAATACTTAATTGATGTACTCGAATAGAAATTAAATAGGTTTCAAATATGATAAAAATAGAGCTATTTAAGGAAATTATTAAAAATATATAGTTTCGACATAGTTAATAAATATGTATGAAATAATTAAAACATAGTGACAATATAGGTAAAAAATATGTAATAAATAGCTGAAATGAGTTTCAACAAAGTTTGAAATAGTCAATAAATAGTTCAAAAATAGTGATAATATAGTTTAAAAATAGATAATAAATAGTTCAAAAATAGTGATAATATAGTTTAAAAATAGATAATAAATAGTTCAAAAATAGTGAAAATATAGTTTAAAAATAGATAATAAATAGTTCAAAAATAGTGATAATATAGTTTAAAAATAGATAATAAATAGTTAAAATACATCCCAGCTTGTTAAAAATAGATTATAAATAGTGGATATAATATTGCCCAAATAGGTTAAAAATAATGTTTGTGATGTTACTCTGAGTGCATATCCACACCGGGCGAGCTTGAAAAATATGCCCGGCCACGCTGGGAATCGAACCAACGACCTTTGGAATACTAGCCCAATACTCTGCCAACTGAGCTACGCGGTCAGGACAGTTCGAGTAAGTGATATTTCGGAACAGAATCTAGTTCCTTCCATACCAATGAAATCTAGTAATATGATTTTTTCTGTGTTGGTGTTGTGTACTCAGGTGAATATAATGTTTGTGATGTTACTCTGAGTGCATATCCACACCGGGCGAGCTTGAAAAATATGCCCGGCCACACTGGGAATCTAACCTACGACCTTTGGAATACTAGCCCAATGCTCTGCCAACTGAGCTACGCGGTCAGGACGGTGTGGATATGCACTCAGAGTATCATCACAAACATTATATTCACCTGAGTACACAACACCAACACAGAAAAAATCATATTACTAGATTACATTGATACTCGAAGGAACTAGATTCTGTTCCGAAATATCACTTACTCGAACCGTCCTGACCGCGTAGCTCAGTTGGCAGAGCGTTGGGCTAGTATTCCAAAGGTTGTAGGTTCGATTCCCACCGTGGCCGGGCATATTTTTCAAGCTCTCCCGGTGTGGATATGCACTCAGAGTAACATCACAAACACTATGTTCACCTGAGTCCACAACACCAACACAGAAACAATTAGATTAAAAATAGTAATATCATATTAATTAAATAAATAGTTAAAATATGTCCTGTTAATACAGTTAAATGTGTTATATGTCAACATGAAACATGGGCAGAGTCTAGTACGCTAGCTAGACACTTCCCTTGACAAATAAAATTGTCCGGCATTAGCCAAGATAACATTTAGCTAATAACAAAGTGCTGCATATTGGGCTCATTGGAGTGAAATGGGCAATTCCAAAAACAATCAAACCCTTGCTGGGGTGTCTCTAAAATATATAAAATGAAGCCCAAAGGTTGTTACATATATTATTAAGCAGATCATGAAGACATGTGGTGTAACTAAATGTATTCATAAGTTTGAACAAGCAAACTAAGGACTTTAACTGTTTCCAGTTAGTGACACATCTATAATGAAGTTGCCACATATGACAACAACACATCAAATTGATATTTTTATCTATTCTAAACTGACCCACCTATATATGAATAAATATTGGAAACTTATGAAAGTACCAGTTAATTTGAAACCAGTCGGTAAATTTTCTCAAACCATGTTTAGCTGGGACATGCCTGGGTAGGCATATGAGAATTGAGTAGATGCCAAGCTATATTATTTTATACAAGAAACACTGGAATCTGGCAATCTGTCATATACACAAAGGCAAAGTTCAAAGTATACTATTTGGCATTACAATAAACAACATTTAAAATAAAGGCTGAGTCACAAATGTAAGCCTTTCAATAAAACTAATGTTGTTTTAATTCAAATATTGTCGAAGCAAATTGAAATTTTAAGCTGGAACATATGCTCAAAATTCACGAATGAAGATAGTAACTATTTCCTTTCAAAATTGCTCTATTTATAAATAAAACATAACAAAATTCTTTCCTGGATGTTACCCAGTCATTCCTGATGTTAATCTTTAAAATAAATATTATTTTCGCTCAATAAATGCTCTGTATTTGAGTATTTCGTGCGGAAAATTTAAACAAAAAAAAAATTAAAATATGGCGGTGTGAATTGTGACGCTATCCCAGAGAGCTTTGCGCGTGTTGTTGCAAAATTAGGCATCTGTCTGTGAGTCTGTCAAACCGCGCTCATCGTGAGAATTTTTGGTGGTATTGGTGTGAGAATTTTTGGTAGTATTTGATGGTATAGTCTTTGTGGAGGTAGGTATTTTGTCTCTTGACAAAATACCTACCTCCACAAAGACTATAAATATTTTTGTAAATATAATTTCAATAAACTCATAAAAAATTTAAAATTAACTCAAACTGGGAAAATTTTGACCAGTTAAATAAATACATTTACCCTTTCTCAATTCTCACAACTTTCTATGAATAGGAAATAAATAGCTTTTTAAGATCTAATTATTTTGCTATTTATTAGCTATTTTAACAATAGCTCTAAAAATAAAAGTAAACATAGTTTAAAAATAGCTATTTAATAGCCATTTGAACAAAGTTCGCCCCAACTTTCTATGAATAGGAATTAAATAGCTATTTAAGTTCTATTTATTTTCCTATTTAATAACTATTTTAACAATACTCAATAAGATCTCCAAAAATAAAAGCAAACATAGTTTAAAAATAGCTATTTAATAGCTATTTGGAACAAAGTTCGCCAGAACTTTCTATGAATAGGAATTAAATAGCTATTTAAGATCTATTTATTTTCCTATTTAATAACTATTTTAACAATACTCAATAATAGCTCCAAAAATAAAAGCAATTAAATAGGAATTAAATAGCTATTTAAGATCTATTTATTTTGCTTTTTAATAAATGTACGTGTTAAGAATGGCTCCAAAAAAGATAAGCAAAAATAGTTTAAAAATAGCTATTTCAAACTATTTTAACTGACTCGTCTGTCATCAATAGGAATTAAATAGCTATTTAAAAGCTATTTTATAGTGAGATTCCGCCAAATACTCTTTCAAATAGGATTTGAATACCTATTTAAAAGCTATTTTTTTGGAAAATATAAATAACCTATATTTGAAATAAAGTGTGTAAATAGTCATATACTATTTTATGAAATTTGATAAATAGTAATAAAATAGTCATATTTTTGAAAAGATACGGAAAAAATAGGCCTAAATAGAGAAAAATAGGTGTAAAATAGGTTATAAATATGTCGGATTCTACAAGGGTAAACAATTGAAACAAACTTGCGCTATATATTAGAATTTCTCATACTAAATCAATTCTTATCAATGTTTACGTTTAAAAATTGAAAAAATGTTTTACAATTTGTTAAGTGAAACGATTTTCGAAGCTTTCTTACATGTTTTTTTACTGTTGCCCCTTTTTAACTCCTGGAAAACAGCCATATTTTGAGATCAGAGAGATGACCACCCATACAGAGTATTGAGGAATACGTGCCGTAATATGGCCGACGACACGTAACAAACAGTGGAAACGATAACGATATTGTCAAGCAAAAAGAAATATCTGCCGTTTTATTGTTATGATCCCAACAAGAAAATTTATTGGCTGGGCAATCTACAATCTTGGCCATAAACCGTAGGACAATGATGCATGGTTTGACAGATTGTACAGACAAAAGTCTACGTGTAACGCGTTCCAAACTAAATCCAGCAATTCCAAAGTATTTTTTTTTCCGAAAAAAATAGGAAAATAGCAGGAAAATGTGGAACGTCAGCATTTTTCTCTTAAAAATTTAGTATTTGCGGAGGTATTATGAAATATAACCATTTGCTACAAAAATATGAAATTTTAATGAAAACAGAGAAATTCAAAATTACATGAGTACGTGCATGCGATTGCTTTACAAATTAAATAAATACTGAGACTACATATTATAAATACTAATTACAGCATTAACTCTTAAACGTGGTGGGTTCAGAATTTCTGAACCTTGCATGACAGTGATTCCGCAATATGTCACTCAAAATGTAAAGCCATAGCATAAAAGGTTAAGTCTATCGAAATAGTCAAATATGCAAACGTTTTAAGCGTTTGCATATTTGACTATTTCGATACACTTGTTCATTGACATTGAGGTGTCAGAAATTCTGAACCTTTCATGTTAAAGTTTTGCCTTTTGAGTGAGATATTGCGGAATTACTGTTATACAAGGTTCAGAAATTCTGACCCTCCTTTGTTCATATCTGTAACAAAGGAGGGTCAGAATTTCTGAACCTTGATATATTAATAATCCGCCCGTAATATCTGACTTAAAATGTAAAGCCAAAAGTAAAGCCAAAATGAAAAGCTTTAACACGAAAGGTTCAGACGAATTTCTGACACGCCAATGGCAATGAACCTGATGTAAAGAAAAAGTAAAACACGCGAACGTTTATAAATCAGTAACAAAGGAGGGTCAGAATTTCTGAACCTTGTATAACAGTAATTCCGCAATATCTCACTCAAAATGCAAAGCTTTAACATGAAAGCTTCAGAATTTCTGACACCCCAATGAACATGTTTATTCGAAATAGTCAAATATGCAAATGTTTACGTCAGTAACAAAGGAGGGTCAGAATTTCTGAACCTCGTATAATAATAATTCCGCAATATCTCACTCAAGATGCAAAGCTTTAACATGAAAGGTTCAGAATTTCTGACACTCCAATGAACAAGTCTATCAAATTGTCAAATATGCAAACGTTTAAATCTGTAACAAAGGAGGGTCAGAATTTTTGAACCTTGTGTGATAATAATTTCGCACTGTAAATGAAAATTTATAAATAAAAGGTTATTTTACTGTAAAATATACAACTTATTTAACAGTTATACAGTACAACATCAGAGTTCCTTGCACATTGAGAACGACTTCTGCATGAGATTAAATTCAGACAATGCTCCTGATTATCCTTCATTAATTCACTGAGTTTCGGTTTGCACACAAAATCTTTATCATCAGATGAAACCAAACACAAACCGTTCCTCTTTACTTTTCAGCGCAGCAACAACTCCAGTAGCTGAAATAGAAACACAGAGTTTGACTGGTATATGATTTTATCATTTGAATTCAGTGGCAATGTCTGAGAATTATTCTAAAAGACAATCTACATGCATTAATTAATTTCAGTCGAGTAAGATGCAGAAATACACATCTAGGTTTTATTGCTACTGCATATATACTGCACCTTGTCGGATGAATTGAATGGGATATCTAATATCCAGTCATCTTGCTGACTAAACATCTCTATTAATCTTTTCAACAAGGAGATATATTGCCTATTCACACGAGTGTCAAGTGCAGTATTTCAATAAGGTTGGATGGACGTTTGGCGGATAAGTTCAAAATATAAAACAAGGTTCATTGAACAATTTTTTTACATATCTCAAGTGCATAAAATTTTACAATTATTTTAGTTCACTTTATATTCACAAGCTGTAGCCCCTTAACTTGACGCAGCTTAATCAATAACGCCATGAAACAGATGGCGCGCACATGTTCTCGAACTTAAAACCCCAAAATATGTTCGTTTTTACACGATGCTTAACTGGATCCGCCAACTTCGGAATAGGCTAAACAGTAAGTTACAGGCAAACTGCTTAAACTAGACATCAATCCAAATAATAAAATCAAGCCCAATTCCTAATTTGAAACTCCTATACTAAATTGTGCGCAAATAAGCCAACACAAACCATTGAGCGGTCTATCGGGCCGTTGTTATGCGGTGCCCCTATTAGTCAGATAAATGGTTTAACAGATGTAATCATAGAGAACTTTACCTTGATACGCGTTTTCCCATGGTGATCGCTAACCTCAGCTTTCAAAATATTCTTGAAGTGCCATGAAAGGAACGCGTACACTAGGTTGTCATTAATTCGAATTGAGCACTTGTTTGTTGAAGGCATGATATATAGCTCTACGAGTGAGCTCTTCTTGATGATCATATATACATATTTCAAACGCGTGCTCAGTATTCAGTAAGAGACTCAACAGCGACAACTTTTCTCTTCTTGGTTCAAAATTTCCAAAGGTCATAACAGTCGGCGAGGTGTGAGATGATTTGAAACATGTCACGCAGAACGGACCAATCGGAAACGACTATTAGGTAACTGAGGAATTTTTCTTTGTGTGAGATGATCTAAGGCGCACGAAAACATAATGCATAACGGGTGTAGAATTACATTGTAGCATTACTTTCAACTAAACAACAGCATCGATATCAATCTGTACCTGGTACCATCAGCATGAGCGATACATTCATCGCCGTATAACAGTGATGGATCTTCTTCTGTATTTGGAGTTGGGTTTTCAAGTCCGTCAATGCCAACTTTACCAACGGGACCATTGGAGTTGAACACAAATAAGGACTTTGTCTCTGATAATTTCTTACCGGCTATATGGCAGTTGGTTTTACTCTCTGACTGATACAGTTGGAGGCAGCGTTACCCAGAGCTCATCCATAGAAGGGAAAAACGAGCTAGGAACTCGAAGAAGCTGAGCACAAAGGTATGACGCGTAATTTTACAAATTTATCAAACTCGCTATATGTTAGGGGCCATTTAAACGGATTTTCGGCAAGCTATATTTACCACACTCTAGTAACTCTTGTTCCTGTTGCTATTGCTATTGCTATTGCTATTGCTATTGCGATTGCTATTGCTATTGCTATTGCTATTGCTATTGCTATTGCTATTGCTATTGCTATTGCACGCGCGTGTTGCACAACGAAACACGCGATTCATTTCCAAACGGTCTGAATTGGTTTTGAAGAACAAAGGTATACATTAAAGTGAGTATATGACATATAAACAAGTGTTTATCGAAATTATCGGTATAGAACTGGGTCTAGGGTTAAATTTGATCTTATTAACTTCCCGACAAAGGGCCTTCAACGTCGAAGTTTTTTCATATTTATCCATTCACACAGAGGTTTTATGTTTCAAATAGTTTTTGATACCTTGCTTGTATAGTCTTGTGGTAGTGCATTACCACGCTAACGCATGAGAATTTAGTTTTGTACCGTACCTATGGGGAAGGGTTCCAATAAAATATTTAATCAATCTACACTTCATGTATATCGCTAATTTGTATCTCG